TCATTCGATCGGACATTCTGTCTGTCCGTCTGTTGTCGGCCCTTATTCAATTGTTCGTTTACTCACTCCTTTGAGCCCCTATTCTCCAGGGATTTGAACCCTTGACCTCAGCCTTGTCTCTTATCTCAAGACCTCCTATCTTTTGCAGTCTATCTACTGCAGCTAGGTACTGAAACTCAGTATATCACACCATGTTGGCTAACACAGCCAGTCTGGTCCTCAAAAATGTGACAAGCTGGCTCTGACCCAGCTACCGGTATATCCTATCTATTTGTCACGCCTGAAGACCACTTTTAATCCATATAAACCTGGATTTTCCACAAGTACTTTGTAGTCCCAACAGTACTTCATTAGTTCTTACACGCGCACGTGAATTCCCAACATCAGATGTACTTTCTGAAGCCTGATTCAATGACCAGTGCTCTTGTCCTTGTGTTGTTGCGTATCATAGCTTGAATACCACTCAAGTAGAAAAAGCAATGAGAGTTACGTCCCTCTTGCTCTTGCTTTGTGGCCAATATTCAACCCATAGCAACCAGCGGACAGTACAGTACCAGTGGTACCAATATCTAACCCACGCGCAGTTAATTTGGGAATCTCTATGTGGTCCCGTCATCTCAATGTTTATCAGTGTTTGTCTGCCAATCAAGCGGATGCAAGAGAAGTGTTCCAGTAGACTTCAATTGTCGGAGAAAAATGAAAACAAATGTTCAACAAGCACATTATATTTACCAAAAGACACTGGCACGGCTAGTCTGACCTCCGCCTCTCACATCTGGTGAACTAAATTGGAGTGGAAGGACAGACCCATTGAATAATTCACAACTTTTCACAAGTTCAAATACTGATATTTTATACTGTATGATACGATATTTACTATTGTAGTCAAAAGTCTGTAGCTGAATTGAAGCTTTTTTCAAACTCTTGAAGACAAAGTAAAAGAGCTGTTTGCTCTACTAGATACAATTTGACTGTACATATACTACATCTAATATGATTTTGGTGCTGGTACCTGGGTACACTGGTTCCGTCTTTGCAATGTGCCCAGACAAATCAGTGTGGGGGGCATGAATAATATTGAACTAGACAAGAGAGCAAAACCTGAAAAGCAACAAAGCAGTTGCCATCTTGTAGAATGATTACATGTTGCAAATTGAAAAGCAGGTGCTGCCAACAAGGGACGATGGTGTCTGAAGGAAGCCAACCAGCCATTCTAAGGAGTCTATTGAATCATCTCTGAATCATCTCTGTGGTGGCGATGATGCAGAGCCAAGTATTGTTTTGCGTCAAATAAAGCAGACACTATATACACTGCTGTATCAATAGTAGTAGCAGATTCAGGTGACAACAATTTAAGGCAAAGCATTGTTGGAGTCAGCATACGCACAGAAAACAAAGGTTGAATGGAGGATGACCTATTCACCAAGATCCACAATAACAAGGAAGACAGCAACGACAATCATAGTGACAATCCATGATAGTGATTGCAGAGGCAACTTGGTGTAGAGGAGATGACAACAAGACAGCTGCGGATGGTGGAGGCAACTCAGCATATCCTTACAACAGGCATGCATGAGGACAAATGAAGTCCCACTCTGATAATTCCGTCTGACAACGCCAACTTTTTGACCATTCCCAGAGTGCCAGCTCCCAAAATGATGGATGACATGGCTTGAATTGAAAATCTAGTGGCGGTAGCACCAGTCGTAGTCAAACCCTAGCCCTCCTTTTCTTCATGACAGTACCGCAGCAGCATCCATACCTGTAGACAGTCCAGTCATCTTCATTACTTGACAGAAATAAATGAATATAGACTATAAGCCTATAGTTGACTAGTTCCTACAAGTTGGTCATTATCAATTCAAGTAAAAAGCATGCAGTGAGAAAAGCAATGATCCATCACTTTTCCATGCAAATCCTATGATTTGTCAGAGAACTGCTGACTCAGTTCTTTTCTACACTAAATTAATGGCGTGTAACAGCTTGCGCATGTGTGATGCATGCAATGCACAGGCTACACTTCAACCTGGGAAATCCTATAGGTCAAGTCACAAGTCCTGTTCCTGTTAGAATTCTGTCACTCCCCAAATGGGACAAAGTGAGGACCTAGTCCTCTTGATCAGCAGTATCTCCATACCAGAACATTAGAGTCGGTAGTAGTGTCCAGATTTGCTGATGACCCCAATGTTTGCTGAGAATATCAGCTGGGTTGAGAGCACTGTCAATGTGGATAAAAGATAGCATGTTAGCTGCTACTGCTTCTCTCACATGGTGGAATGACAATGCAACATCTTGATTGTGTAGCTTAGCTTCAGGTAGGGAAGAACTGTTCATGACAGATTCATTGTCACCAAACATGTAGCTTTGACCTCTGATCGGCACACCAAGGTACCTCAAGGTTTGTTGGAGATCCATGATCTGTTTGGCACAGGTTTGAGTGGCTACAGACTCAGAGCCATAAGTAGCAGTCTCAACAGTTGACTGCCCCTTAGAGAAGAAATCAATTGAGGTTCCATTCAACATATGGTGGATTATACCTGCAATCAATTGGTCTGTCAATAGACAGGACGGCCGCTCGTTGCCTACACCAAGAAACTCAAGGTGTCAAAGTTTTACCGGCTCTACAAGAAGGCTTGGAGGAAGGAGGTTTTTGGGAATGAAGCATTCATCACTTGGTCCTCTCGCACCGCGGATCACTCTGGTCGGGCAATATCCAAATGCCCCGGATGGTGGGCGGAAGC